AATCCCATCCTCTTGCCGCACTTTCCTTCTCTCACCCACCACTCTGATGTCCACTCCACCACTTAATCCTTTAAAGTATTTCGTCCATTCCCCCATTCCAATGCTCCTATCTACCATTTCTCTCCTAATTGTTTCCCTATTTATAACTTCCCACTCCCTTCCCTCTCTAACCACCTTTTCCACCTCTTCCATAAATCTTTTTCTCTCCTCCTCTATCTTATACTTCACCATCTTCCCATGATCTCTCTGCCTCCTCTTGTACTCTTCACTGCTGATTCTACCTTTCCTCCACTCTTTAATGTTTACCTTCATCCGATTCCTACTCGCAGCGCACTCCTCATCCCACCATCCTTTCCTTCTTTCTTCACTATCTATCTCCTGTCCCGTGTCCTTCTTTAGCTTTTCAATATTCTTCCTTACTCGTTATATTCTCTCATCGACCTTTTCTTCTTCTCTTCCTCTTATCCATTCCTCCTGCAACCTTCTTTCAAACAACTTTAATGTCACTGCACTCCATTTTCCCATCTTTACTTTCCCTTCTCTCCTCTCTTTTTTTCCTTTTTACATCTCTCTTGTATCCCTCCCTATCTCCACCGTTATCGGAAAGTGGTCTGAATCGATCTAATTACCTACCTCCATCCATATTATTTTCTCTCACCTTCTCTTCTGCCAAGACATAATCGATAACTGTATCCCCCCTCCCCATAAACGTAAATTCCCCCTCTTCATCCCCCTTTATATTTCCGTTGCAAATCGTCCAACCATAATCCTGAACCAACTCTATTAACCTCTTCCCCCTCACTATCCACCTCCTTGTGTCTGGACCTCCTTTCATATTTATTTGCTTCCTCGTTCCAATCCCCTCCTCTCAGCTCTTTAGTCCGTGCATTTAAATTCCCTCCCATTAGCACCAATCTGTTTTAACTATAATTAAGTATTAGCGATTAGCGGATTTGGAAAAGAAGCAGTTGAGAACGGAAGGAGAGAAAAGAAAAGATGTGATAAATGTAGAGAAGAGAGTGGAATGTCTGAAGTTGGAAGGTGTAGAGGATGGTATAAGGCAGAAAAGAGAGGGTACATACGGTGAAGGGTTGGAAGCGAAAGTAAGAGAATTAAGTAGGCAAGTAGAGCAGTTGGAGAGGTATGGTATTCCAAAGGTATGGTTGGTGCAGCTGGAGAGTGAAGAAGAGATAAGAAATGTAATGGAGAATAAGAAGAAGTTGAAGGGAAGACAGGAGAGAATAGACGAGGATAAGACATGGATGGAGAGAAAAAATGAGTGGCTGTTAAGAGATAAGGCGTGGGAGGAAAGAAGAAAGGGTAAGGTGGTAAGAGTGGGTAGGGAGTGTATATGGGTAGAGGGGGTAAGAGTTGCATTGGAGGAAATAAAGGCAGGAGCCGAAAGAAAGGAAGGTGTAGGGTTTGGAGTAACAGTGGAGAGCAAAGAGGCGTAAGGAGCAAAGGGAGTGTAAAAGTGGGGTTCTAGAATATTGGAGGATGGAAAAGTAAGGATGGAAGATTTTAGAAGGCGTTAGGGGGGTGGGATATGGTATTTTTGATGGAGACATGGGCAGAGAAAAAGGAGTGGGAGACAGTAAGAAGAAGGTTGCCAAAGGAGTACAAATGGAGTATGCAAGGGGCAAGAAGAGAGTGAAAAAGGGAGAAGTGCGGAAGATATGATATCAGAAGTGAGGATTGGGATTAAAGAGGTATGAAAGATAAAGAGGGGTGTATGATAAGGACTATTAAAATAGGCAGTATTTGCTTGGATATATAGAAATTTAAAACATTATTATGAGTTGAAAAACTGCCTCAAAGGATTTTTCAAAAAAATTAAATTTCTCAAACTTATAAACAATTGAAGTTTTTGGAAGTCTTAATTTAAAAAATAAATATCTTAGAACTAAGTGAACGGATCATTATAAAAATTGGTATACTTACACAGAAAATGATACAGTTTTAGTTGAAAAATTTGAAAATTAAAAATTTTTGATTTTTAATAATTGTTATTGCAAAATTAATTATTCATTTAAAAAATAAACCATGTTCTCGTTGTCGTAGAAAGTTGATCTAAAGTTTATTTGAAAAGGGAATTTCATGAGTATTCAAAAACCGTTTTAAAATTTAGTGGATCGCAATTAGCAAAAACGTTATCGCGTTTTTTGTACGGCGCTGCGTGTCTCTAGTGCTAGCACGAAGAATGTATTTTGCTCAAAAAGTATGGAAACTTATATAAATATAAGTAGAATTTCTGTTAAATGGCAATTCTATTAAGGGTATGTAAGCAAAGGACATTTTTTGTGGTTTGAAACTTTCTCTGAAATAAAATATAATTTCGGGTTAAAATTATGGACCAATGATTTTGTTTGGTACAAGGAATATCGCTACTCTTCACATTTACTATAACATAACATTCTCTTACATTTGAAATTGCAAGACTGGTAGCTTGCCTGGAACTGTAATTGAACATAATGCGTAAGAAGTCGTCATAAAAACCTTGACGTAGTTTGCAAAGAAAACAGAGGAGATCCTTTTTATTGATATAACGATGTCCCCCTGGTATATCGACGGGATTACAAAAGGTAAACAGTTCAAGATACTGATCTTTAGACACTCCACTAATCACTTTAAATTCATCATCATTTAAATGATTTTCATCGTTGAACTTATTAAAAGAACTTTCAATCACTCATTTACGAAGACCTTGCATAAAACGCTGCAGTTCACGAAAACAACAACAAACAAACAAGTATGAGAAGTTGTTTGGGACAAGACATTTAGTCTCATACACTGTGGGTCATTCTCCAGTATCTCTATTTCTCTAATTATTGTTACGTTACTTTATCGAACCATATCGATTGAAAGAACGATAATTACGGTAGTTACACTTACAATAATATCTGGTGGAGCCTATGGGCAAGATCTACTATGAAACACATTATCACTTTTACTAAAGTAAAAGTTCGCAGTACATTTACCTCAAAACAATGTTGTCTTCAGAATATTTACATATACACATATATACTATTCATATTCCTGGGAACACATGAACTACTTGAGGTGTCGAAAATGTAAACACACAACTATACAGGGTGTTCATTAAGTATGGAAAAGGTGACATATCTAAAAAAACATACATCTTAGAAAAAAATGACCAAAACAATAGTTGTTCAGAAAGAAGTTATTGGGCCTAGAAAAGTAGATAACTTCTTTCTGAGTAACTATTGTTTTCGTCATTTTTTTAAATTCAAGTCTCAAGTTAATTTTTAAATCTGAAAAGAATAAGACGTGCATATATATATATATAGTGACAACAAACAGATTGAATTTCTCTCTCCCAAACCGTCGTCTAAGTCACTTTTTTTCTCGAACTTCAAATAGCCCTAGCGGGAAAACCGACCCGGGAAGGAGGGGTATGTTCCAGAGAGCTTTTGTTCAGAATCACTTGAACTTGATTTTCCCAAAGTTACAGACAATTTTACCGAAATGGATTTTTAATGTATTTTGTGCGGGGTCCTTTCTTATTCCTTTTAACACGCTTTGAAAATTTTAAAGCTGGCGATTGAAAGGAATAGACATTTAAAATTTACTCTCCAAACATTTAATTTTTTTCTATTCGCTGCCAAAAAGTTTGAAAATAAAAAACTTTGCGCATTAAGAAAAATAAGAAGTTTGAATTCTTTTGAATTGACTTATCCGTACTGGGAATAGAAAAGAATTCATTTCATTGATATTTTGTTGCTCATTGGGGAATAGGGTTGTGTTAGAAATTCGCCTATTCAGAAGAATTAAAAGTTCTTGTTTTATGCTCAATTTCTGTAAACTTTCAATTCTTCTCTATTCCTTGCTTCTTACCGGGAACTTAAAAAAATATTTTTTAAAAACGGATCTTTGAAAGATTTTAAATTTTTTGCAAAATACTCAGAAAAGTGTCCTGATTCAAGATATGAAAGAAATTTTACAGTGAAAGAACTTTTGGGTTAAAGTGTGCTATGGACAAACGTGAATGGTCATTTTATTTTACGGCTCTATTTGTAGTCACATTTTGGGTCGTAATTGTGACCGTAAATACGGGCGTGATTACTATTTCATATTCACAAACGTATTAAGGGTCGTAATTGCGGTCATATTTATGGTCCTATGTAAGATCGTATTTACGGTCATTTTTTCTATAGGGCGACTACAAAATATACTACCCGTACATTAATTAAAAATTTATTATAACCATTTTTCCATATATTAGAATTGATTAATTTATAATTATTTAACCCCTTCGCAGTCTAGTGCAAAAGTCGTTTTTGGGTCAAAACGGCCCAAAAAAAATTTTCCAAAAAAATATATCATTGTATTTAAAATTTTTGGGGTCGCTAAATCCAAGTTTGAGGTGAAATTTAAAAAATTCAAAATGGAAATATATGCGCCATAGACTGTTAAGGGGATTATTGTGAAAGAAAGAAGAAAAAAGAATTTAAAACAAAATTACCACCGCAGTCATAATAACGCCAATGTTTCACACCAACCTAACTGAATGTACTTTAAAAAAATATTCATATTTGTAATTATGTCTTGTTTTTATTGTTAAGTAATTTTTAATAAAAAGGCAAATATTTTTTATTAACGTGATATGATTTTAATTTTTATGCAATATACCCAGTAGGTTTCAGAACATTATTTGGCGGACATGAAACGTTATAAAAACGTTCCTAAAAAGTCAAATGATATGTCCCAAAAGTTTAGGGATACCATGTCAGAAATCATCAAAAAGGTAAAAAAAATTTGCTAACAGCTTAGAAAATGGTGGGGGTAAAATAGGAGGAATTAAAAACTGTACAGTTAGGAATAATCATAAATGTTAGAAGTTGTGAGAGAGCAATGATGTCTTAAAAAATACAGCATCAATATTCACAGTATTGTCATATGTAATATCGATAGAATATTTTAGTTACAAATTTTTAATTTGAGACAATATACTATATTATCATTACTAAAATAATAAATACCTGAACAAATATTTTTAGCGTCACATCATTGTGAAGGTCTATTAATTCTGTCGTAATCAAACGTGCTTTAAAGATTGGTTTATTTTTATCATCGATGCTTTGACCAGACCATAGTAAATAAAAACCTTTGGTTTCGTCATTAACAGATTTTATGTTAAAAGTCACATTTTTATTTGATATGTCAATATCACGTGCCATGATAACTATCCCATGTGAATCAAAAGAATAATTTTTTAAAATTGGCATGCCTATTGTAAAATCGTAAGGAGCATTTAAGAATTCAGGGTTATGGTTATTAAAGTCCATTATTGGCTGAATTATTACCTAAAATAAAAAATTTATATAATTTAATTTCATTTTCAAGATTTTTAAAAACAAAGATACTCACAAGTTTTTGTTCAATTGAACATTGAAAAGATATCTTTATTTCAACAGCATCCACTGACTATAATATAATTAAAAATGATAGGAATTATCCACTTATTACTGGTTAAAAGAAACATGAAATTGAAAAATTTTACCTCATATTCTTCATAGTTAGCGAATTCATCAGTTAAATTTATTGACAGGTAATAAGAATGAGGATCTAAACTAATATTAAAATAATTATTATGGTTGGTATTGAATTGAAATTGCATTTTTTTAATATTTTTCGTCTTCAATGACCATAATAGTTTTTTTGAAGAATTATCATCAATAGCTGGTAAATATATTCCATTTAACCAATCATCTTCGGACATCTCATTTCCATCTTCTTTATAAATGATACATCTTCCATTGTCGTCTTTGAAAATCATTCATCAAAAACCAAAAATATACAAGTTATAAAAAAATTAAACAATAAACAAAATTTCTATAACACCTTTTGTCAAAATCTCGAATTAAAAGCAGTTTTTAAATAATTGAAGCTTAAAAAGAAGGGAAATCGTATTTTTTGTAACTAAGTAACTAAACTAACTCCCAGATAGTACAGAAACTTGCAGCAAGCTTGCGGTTAGGGTCTTTGGTTAGTGTCTGTCAAACCCGGGTTCAATTCCCAGTCCCCTCAAATTTTTTTCGAAAATTTTCTCGTTAGGTTTCCAAATGAAAATAAACAGGACATAATTAATAATAATAAACGTCACAAGAATTTTCAAATTTAAAAAAAAACAAATAAATTTTTTTTAAATTTAAAACGTATTTTTTAAAAATTGCAGCAACCTTTCCAGAAGCTTGTTGAAATTCTCCTGCAACCTTACGTAGCAAGCTTACAGCAATCATTCACGGAAAGCTTGCCGCAATCATTCTTAGTATGCTTGCAGCAATCTTTCATGGTAAGATTGCAGCAACCTTTCCTGGAAAGCTTACAGCAAGCTTTCACGGCAAGCTTGCCCTGGGTGGGACATTTCGCTAGCTCAGACAAGCTTGACAAGCTTGCACGGTGAACTTGCCGCAAGCTTGCTACAAGTTTCCGTGCTATCTGGCCTAACTCCACCACGCAAGTGTCATGAACAAGGCTACCAACTACAAATTTCATGTAATCACTGTCGTCATCTGTGACGTTAAATATCTCATTATTTTTACTTGGAATCTTTAATTGAACTAAATGTATTTTATTTTCTTAACAGTTCATTTTCATTTTTCATTTATTTATTGAATATATATGGGTAATTTTCCACAAACTCACAGAGGTGTGAAACCCTCATCCAGGTGGACAAAAGCACAAAAAAAAAGTTTAAAAATTGCAAGTTGAACTTGAAAATTAGTTAATTGGGTACTTAATCCATTCTGTAACGAAATTACAGGTTACTAAACTGCATACTTTCGTTCCCCAATCAGCACGAAAACTTGCCAGAAGCTTGCCGTGCAAGATTGCAGCGCAAACATGTAGCAAGTTTGGAAGAAGCAACAAAATGTCCTCTTACGGCAAGCTTGCAGGGCAACGTTGGCGCAAGCTTGCTGCAAGTTTGCAAAACTGAACGCGATGTGCAATAAATTTTGTAACCTTCAAAGCAGGGTGCCTTTTATGTTTATTCAATAACAAATTGTTTCGAAAATTTTTTTTTAGTATTATACAAGCTTGCAGGAAGCTTTCTGCAAGTTTGCTGCAAGCTTGCTTAACTACCTTGCCACAAGAGAACATTTTGTTGCTTGTACCAAACTTGCTACATGTTAGCACAGCAATTTTGCACGACAAACTTCCTGCAAGTTTGCTGCAAGTTTTCGTGCTTATTGGGTAGAGGAAAATTGCAGGCAAACATGTAGCAAGTTTAGTGCAAGCAACAAAATGTCCTCTTACCGCAAGCTCACAGGACAACTTTTTCGTAAGCTTGTATAATATTCAAAAAAAATTTTTAGGAACAATTTGTTTCTAAATAAACACAAAGGGCACCCTGTTGTGGAGGTTAAAAAATTTATCGCTCAGCTGTAGGAGCTTCCGTTTATAACTACGCATCATGTTAAGTTTTGCAAACTTGCAGCAAGCTTGCGCCAAAGTAGTTCTGCAAGCTTGTCGTAAGCGGACATTTTATTGCTTGCACCAAACTTGCTACAAGTTTGCACTGCAATCTTGCATATCTTGCACGGCAAGCATCCTGCAAGTTTAATTCAAGTTTTCGTGCTGATTGGGTATAAACTTTACAAATTTGTATTATAAGTCTATTCACTTGGTTCGGATAATTATTTTTAATACTTTCAAGAGTTCAGATAAGATCGATGTAAGCGATAAATTATTTTATCGTAATATTTCAATAAGTTTTTTGCTCCATGATTCTTCCTTTTCTTCCTATGATAACAATGCAGGTAAATAGTTAGAGATTCATATAAAAGCAAGTTTAGCTGCTACTATTTGCAACTTTGTTCTGAAACTTTAATTGAGTGACACAAAATGCAGGAAAACTCATAAAAATGCAAAAGTGTCTACTACCCAGATAGCGAAATGCGCTTACAGTATCAGACATGTAGCTAGCACGCGTGCCATTTAACCCGCACGCGTGCTCTCACTGGACCAAACAGATGCGTCCTCATATGCGACACATGTGAGTCGCACGCTTGAGGGTCGCATGCATGATGGTCAAAGAAGTTTAGATCATATTCTATTACTAATTTAAGTTAAAACAAATATAATATATTACGTGATGCTGAAATGTAGAAATTGTCGTTAAACTCCAATATTAGACAAATTAATATACTTGTACTGTAAACTTTAAACTGTCAATTATAAAAGAGTTACAGATTTCTAAATAAATAAACGCGTTTTGACCCCAGTGACCTGTAATGTCGTGAAAGAAATAAACGATATATATTCAAATACGAGTTTAATTATAAGCAATTAAAATGAGAAGTTACAAGTATGGCTGGTTAGAGAATACTGAAATATATAAAGATTCATTAACACTAGCGTACTCTATATTCAGGAAATGGAAACAATTAAATATATTTTCGTTCAACATACTACATGACCCATACAAGAATACAAAGAATTTTCTGCGCATTTTACAATAGTTTTGGTGCCATATACGCGAATTCTACAAATAACTTGTTTTGGAAAAAACACTAACTTCCATTTTAATTTGGTTAAAGTCAATCTGTCATTTTAACAATTTATTTATTTATAACAACAAAAATCTTAAATTAAAAAAGGTGTAAAAATGACATACTATTGTTTTTTTTAACATTTCCAATAAATTAATGTAAAATGACGTAGAAATTTAGACATAATTTAAAAAAATTGTTAAATTCATCAAATTGATGTATTTTTGAAAATTTCCTAAAGATTTATTTGCAAACTTCGGAAACTTTAATTGCAAAGTTTAGAGAAAATTGTACAAAGATTTAAATGTCCAAAATGAGTAAATGTTTGGCGTAAAACTTGACGGAAGATTTAAATTAAATTTTCCAGAAATTTTCGACGCGAAAATTGAGTGAAGATTTAAATTAAAGTTTCGTGAAATGTTTGGCGTAAAAGTTGACTAAAAATTTAAATTAAATATTTATTAAAAATTTATACCGAAAGTTGAGTGAAAATGTAATTTAAATATTCAGTCAATTTTTGTGACGAACATTTCCTAAAAATTTAAATTAAATTTTCAGAAAAGGTTGGACGAAAATATTTGTAAAAAATACAAAAATAATATTTAAGAAGTATTAATATTATTATTAATATTAATAATAATAATAATAATAATACATAGATAGATAGATAGATAGATAGATCTTTATTATTATTATTATTATCAATAAAAAAAATTTACTATCTGGGATTAAAAATAAAATAAATAATATACAAACATTGTTGCTCTGCTTTGATTCACATTGAATCAAGCACTGCATGCTTGTTGATCAAGAACTTTTGAAAACAAATTATGGGGTGCTGGGGATTGAACCTACATTCGCCGCGCGCTAGCTAAAGACCCTAACCACTACACTACAGATATCTGGCTGAAAAAAAAATCTTCCACACACTCTACAACTTACTGATAGACAAGTGATCCTACTTATCGACTCAAAAGTCGATAATATAAAGTTGTAGAGTGTGTGGAAGATTTTTTTTTCAGCCAGATATCTGTAGTGTAGTGGTTAGGGTCTTTAGCTAGCGCGCGGCGAATGTATGTTCAATCCCCAGCACCCCATAATTTGTTTTCAAAAGTTCTTGCTCAACAAGCATGCAGTGCTTGATTCAATGTTGATTCAATGTTGATTCAATTGCAAATAACAAAAGGTACATATGAACCGATCGCCGGAAAGACGGCATACGTCGATTTAAGACATTTTGAGATATGTTAAATTTAAGATTCATTTGTAAGTTATAATTCAAGGTATTATTATCGAAAATTTTTTTCTTTTACAAAGGTTTACTATCGGTCAACTAATTTTGTCACATATTTTCACAATCACTACCGCAATTTATTTCAGTAATTCATTTTTTTTATTTTTCACAAATATATCCGGATGATATTGCCTAAATATGTATTTTTAACAATTTAGAAATATTTCTTTTCGATATTTCTAGAATTTTAATGAATAATCGTTTCAAAATATTTCACTTAAAAATTTGTAACATATTTCATTTTTTTATTTTGCAAATATTAAAAAATAATATATCAGTAATTTTTCATCCTCACATTTCCTGAACATTTCGCTGAAATTTTTCGTACAATCGGAACTGCAATATTTCTTATAGGCGGACATTTCATTGCTTGCATCAAAATTACATGGACCTTTCATTGAAATATTTCGAATCTTTCCATGAAATATTCAGGACAAATTCAGGAAATTTTATTTGCTGTGTGGGTTCAGGTTATTTTGATAATTAATTTACTTCCATATTCTCTAAAAATATTTGGTATTCCTATTTTTATAATTAGAAAATGTGCATTAAGGTTGTCCAGTAACTCTTGAAAACATACAAAACCTACACGAATTTTTTTTGAATTTTTCTCTCTTTTAACCCTTTCATGGCCAGTGGGACACATACGTCCCACCTACTTCAAAAAATCATAACTTTCTTAAAACTTAATCGATTAACTCCACTAAGATCTCATTTTGAAGGGGAGGGATAGAGTAACAAATGTAAATACATGTATTTTTTTAAAAAACTACCCTCTTTGAAATACACCCCTTCAAAAAACCCGAAAAATGAGAAAAATGAAAAAACAGGTATAATTTCAGAAGAAATTTTTTTTTTCAGGCTTTCATAGTAACATATGTTTAAAAATATTGCAACCTTTGTAAAAAAAAATTAATATTAAAAATTCAACCCGAGGGTGCAGAAAAATAACTAAAACTACCCCTAAAAACCAAAAC